CATTTTTCAACTTAAAATCAATATTTATCGATAAAATTGTTAAATATTTATGGATTAAATGGTTCAACATTTATCAATATGTAACTTGAATTGAATTATTAATATTTATCTGTTTACTTGTCTCCTTACTTCAACTCATTCTCATTCAAAGTTAATCTTGAAACTCAACCTTATTTTTGTTCAAGTTATCAAGCTTTATTTGAATAAAGCTTGGAAATCAGCTGAAATTGAATAGCACTGGCAGAGGTACAAAAGTTTATCATGATTAAGCAAATGTCTGATTTAGTGTCATAAATGATTATGATTTATGTTCAACTTGACTTTGAATGTAAAAAAGTTTACTACTTTTGGTGTCATTATCGTTCAACTTGAAAGTCAACTTGAATTTGTTGTTGATTATGATGATTATAATTATGATATAACAGGAACATTTGACAAGTTTGCTGAAAACTAGCTTCCGTTTCTGATTCCAGGCCAACAATTGCTCAACCAGAATAGATGAATAATTTCGGTCAGTAAAAAAACCTCAAATTTTCAACTTTTCCATTCATTAGAGTTCGCAAATAAAAGCAAATATTATCTCTCGAACCAATGAATACGCCAAAAGGAACCATTTTGTTGATTAAATAATCTCAACTAAGCTTGATAAATGAGTTTGCCTTTTGTTTAATTGATATTTTGGGCATAAAAAAAGCTTCAATAATGATCAGCCTAAAATTCAGCATAAAAGCTCAACATTTTCCTTCTTTACTTTTCCCTGAATTTTCCTTTAATTTTCCCTCAATTTCCTCCAACTTTATTCTTCGCCAATTTTCATAATCCTGATCAATAGCATCTGAATCTCACCCAAATCTCATGAATTTTCAAACTAACCTTAAACTCATTTCAAGTAAACAGTTTCAACTTGAAATTAATTGAATCCAAATCGATTAATTCCCTTTGTAATTGATTCAAATCAAAGACGATTTCACTCCAAGCCTTTGCCAAACTTGTACAATTAAACCTCAATAAGAATGAACATTCAACTAATTATCTTCCATTAAATCTTGAAATGCTAATTTGGATGAAATGGCAATATTGACAATTGAATCAGATATACTGTTCAGAGAAAAATGAATAAATCAATGATTATATCGATGATGAAGTTGAATGTTGATAGGAAATGAATGGAAATGTTAATCAAATTCTTGTTATTATTTTCCTTTGACTATTATTTTATCTTGAAATCACCATTAAATGTAATACAATTGATGCCTTTGAGTTATTACCAACGCACGTTCACAGTCATTGTAGTATTTTTCAGTGAACTTCATGTCAATGATTATTTATTGATTAAAAGTGACTTTTGTTGATGAATATCAATTTTTGAACTTCGAGTTGAATTGAAATGTTTGTTTCTCCTTTTGTAATTTATAAATGTTTGGATAATCAAATGAAAGTGATAATGAAGATAATGATGATCCAAGGGAATGAATTAGTTAATAGTTGAAGTAGATTATTATAATTGAGTTAATGGATTCTCATGATATTACTCATGAGAATGCTAGTGTTGTTCATGTTGATATTGAATCAAATGAAAATATTATCTGTCTGTTAATTAATTAAATTTCCTAATCACGTTCAGGGTGAAAACTCTTTCCTTTACCACTTGCGATTCATGTTATTCATCCAATCTTGCACCAAATAAACAAACTTATCATTTCAAAGGAAAAAAAAGTTTTCCAAAAATTCATCAAAAAATTTTCATTTCTCAATAAGCATTTATTGGTCGATAAGTTTGAGCTACTTTTCATGTTTATTTCAAACTAAATGAATAAACATTTCTGGTTAAACTGAATCTCTCACTCCCAGTAAGTAAACAATTGAATATAATTCATAACATGATTGCCTTCCAAGAACTAAAAAATAATTTACTTCATTTTAATTGTAATTAACTGATAATTAATCATTCTGTTCAATTTTTTCTCCGTAAATCAGTTAATTGGCTCTTGAAGGTTGTTTTTTCACTTCCTCTTAACTGATACTTGATGAGTTGCAATTCATTAATTTTGCTTCGACTTTCAAAATCTTTCAAATAACAACTAACAATCAACTCAAATAACTTGTGAACATTCAGAGCAACCAAAATATTTTGTCACTTCAATCAACTACAAAAGTCTCAGTTAGTTGAATGAAATGAATCCCAATGAATGTTGATTCAAAATAATCAAAGCATTTTGTCAAACCAACTTTTCCGATTTAATTCAGTTCTTGTTTTTGTGTAAAACCAATGAACATAAATGGCATTCATTGTCTTGGACTTTTCTGCTTTTTATTGTCGATTCTTTTTATGTTTCAGATGAACTTTTCTCATTTCCCCTGCTCAGAGTCTCAAATCATAGACTTGACTCAACAGCATCGTTGAGTTATTTTGCATTATTGAGAAACTGTTAAATGCGAAAAGTGATGTTACAAGATTTTTATTGTTAGTTGTGAAGCGTTTGTTTTGTTACCCAAAACGTGAACCAAGCACACAATGTCAGTGGGAAAAGTAAAGCATTTTTCATCGTTTTACAATCTGTTTATATATTCAAGTTTTCATTCATCACTTGTGATTATTGATTTTCCTCATGCAAAACGCTCATCTTGTACATCTAATCATGATTTGAATGCTGATTTAGAATCATTTTCTTGACTTTACTTTTATCTGATTTCTCGAGTAATCTTTCACTTTTTTTTCAGTCCATTTTATTCACTCCCATTCAAAAACCATTTGCAAATGGTTCCCAAGATTTGCCAGCATTCAACGATCAAACAATGTTTTACTTGCATTTCCATTTCATCTCAAATGATTCAAGAAGCAATTTACATGAAAAATCAGAATGCTGAGTCTTTTTTTACGTTCATGTTATTTACTGTGAAAAAAGCAACTAAACTAGTGAATATATCATTAAAATGATCACACTTTTCAATGATTCAGTAAGTCTTAATAGACATTTACATGGAATAGCAAGTTTTGTTTCAACAGTTTTTCATGGAAAAAACTAATATATTCAATATTCGGTGAAAAGTTTTGCTTGGAAACATTTTTAGTTTCACTGATTGTCCCATTATTTAATCATTAATAATGAAAAAGATTTCATTATCTGTGCTTCTGGAGGAAACCTTGGGCTATGAAATAATATTAACACAAATTAATCTTACATGATTACATTCATTAGAGTTATTATCTTCATCTTTTTACTTTGTTTCCCTGTAAATCTCAGTCTGTTTACCATTATTATGAGGCAACGGAATTTGTTTCATTTATTTCCACTATTCAAGATATTACAGTCTAATGCATCATCCAAACATTTCCAATTTCATCAATGGTTGAAACAAAAGGAAGATTCAATATCATTCTCAGTGTGGTTCAAAGAACTTTTTTTTCGAATTGTCAAGTTAGTCTCATTAATTGCACTTTATTCTGATACAATAACCTTAAGCTTTCACTTTCATTACAGTTTCTTATTTCATTTTCACTTCATTATGACATCTTTCACATCAACTTAAATCATCAGTAATCATCCAGACTCATGATGACAATCTGACTGTCACTGAAAAAGAAATTCCAACATTCATTATCATCACTTCGCTACTTAATCATCAGATTCATTAATGGTTTGTTCAGAAGCAGAGACTAATTGTCTTCATCCAAAAACAGAAAATATAAAAAATGAAAACCCAAATAATGACAAAACTCTGAATAACCAAGACTTCAACTTAAAGTTCAATTTGGAAGTTCGAAGAAAATTCTGTTGAAGAAATCGTTTCTGTATTGGATTCTGAAAGAAATGAATTTCGATATTTTGTCAAACCCGAAAATGAAATTATCTGTAAATTTTGCTTCCAATGATGGAGTTTGGAAGTTATTGATTTTACAAATTTTGTGTAAAATTATTTTGGTTGACTTAAGGTTTGGTCTTGAGTTGAATGACTTGAAATTCGAATAAAATGGTTGAATTTGTAATTGGATTCAATTGTCTTTACCGCTATTCAGCTTGATTAATCATTTTATTAGACTAACATTACTTTTTTATTTGTAGCTCTTTGATTGTGATCTTTCATTAATTCATTTAAACATATCATTTACCTTTTCAATTGACTCTTCAACTGAGCATTGGTTCATTAACGTAAATTAATGTTCATCACCAGAAAATGTTATTAAATTGACAAATTTCCTCTAGTTGATGTTGAGTTAATTAATGGTTGACAAAAGGAATAAAGCAATTTCCCAATGAAACCAGCATTGAGAGTTCATTATCTTCACATGGTTCAGATAATTTTCAAGATCAGCCAATTCAGTAAACTCTTGTAAAACCCTTTTCCATCCAAATATTCACAATTCATTACTTGCAATCTACTTTTACAAAACATTCAATCAACATTTACTTCTTACCATTTATTAAATTGTTCACTGTTAGTCTAAGTTAGGTTTACATTTAAATTTCAATTTGACTGTCGATTCGGTGAAACCCTTTTTCCATTGAAATTTTATCCATGATAAAGTCAATGATTTTAATGATAATCAAAAGACAAGATTTCCATTGAATAATCGTGATTCATGAAGATTCTGCTGTTAATGGTAAATAATAAAGTTAAGTGTTGAAATGAAAAGGAACCAAGTTGATCACTTTTCAACGGCAAAACTCCAATACATTGGTAATTGCTGGTGATTCTTGTAACTGTATTTTCAGATAATGATGTTGATGATGAAAAATAATGATGTTATTTAGTTTTCAGGGAAAATTCAGCGATGCATGATTATAGGAACGAAACATGAAAAGAATATTTTCTTTCTTATTTCACTTCTTCTCCAACAATAATGATAATCTTGTTATTCAATTTTATCAGCTTCAAATGTTACTTCAAATGTTGCTTCCAATGTAACTTTAAATGTAACTTTGATTTTCATTTCAATTTTGACTCTTCACTTGAACATTTATAAACATTTTTTTCCATCATTTCTATTCTTATATTAGATGAATAATGATGATTGTGGCCCATCTCATCCTGATTTGATGATGGAAATGTTGCGTTCCAATTCCGATTCATCTTTAGCTGCTCCAACCAAAATGAATTTACACTCGGAACAAAAAAACCTGTTAAATCAGAGTAAATGTTTGATGAATGTGTCAACCCAAACGGACTTGTTAAATGGATTAGAATCACTGTTAATTCCATCAACAATTGAATTTCCTGGTTGGAATTATGATCAACTTCCACCTCCACCATCACCAAGTGAACCAACATTGAATGACGAATCATCTCTATTAATTGATAAAAACGATCAACAGAAACTTGAATCTGTATCAACAATTTCCCGTGAAGCATTTCAAGGAATCAATCAGATTCTTTTGGCTCATGCACTTGGCCAGTTAACCGATGAAGAGGATTCACAGGAAGACGATGAGGATGAGCTAGATGAAGATGATTACGAAGATGATGAAGATGATATCCTCGAGGAGTGTGATGCCATTGAATATGCGGTAAGCAAAAAACAGTAAAATATTCAAATACAGAAAAAAGAAACATTTTCATTGCAATTTCCATCATCATAACCATTTATCCATTTTATCATTAACTCTATTCATTATTCATTTTCATCACAATTTAAGAAGCAAAATAATGCAAATGAAATACAAATTTACCTTTCATCCAAAGATGAATTCACTCTTTAAACAAAAGCAAATTCTTGGTATAATCAATCATTACCATCGATTTTAGGTTGAAAGTAAATCAATTTCAGGTTAATGTTAATTGGAAAGTAAAATAATCATAAATCATCTTCTGTTCATTAAAGGAGTTGAAACTCACATATAAATAACGATAAATAAAATCTTATCAATAAGTGTTATAGAGTTGAATGATGAATTTGTAATAAAATACAAAATTGTGTGCTAAAAGGTTTAGTTGCCAGTGATAATGTTTCTCATTGTTTCCAACTCAGATAATCTTACAAAGTAAATCCAAACGATAATATTCAATTTAGTTTTCCAATCATGAGAAAGATTACATTTCATAGACAAGATTTAACAAGGCTTATCATGTAACTTATCCTACCAATTTCACAGAAATTTTGCCAACAGTTAATATTTCGTTTCACAATAACTTGTCAAAATACTAACAATAATAGCAGTTTACATCTCCAGGCGATTGTTTGTGCTTTTATTTGTAAACCCATTTTTTGCATCTTTTGGGTTCCTTTTACTTGATTCCTCATTTTGTGCACTTTAACTTCATGTTTAATGATGATGATGGTAAAGATGATCATCACTTTACTTCCGTTTGTTTTGATGAAAAGAAGACGTTTTTTTAGTTTCTTCATCTTACATCAGACTATTTCACAGTGATGATGATTCAGTCTTTTCATCTCTCCTTCCATCATGACATTGATGTTTCTCATCCTTTTTTGTTTCACTTCTCTCATGTTGATAATGACGATGGTTTTTCCATTGATCCATCTTAAGACCTTTTTTGGGTTCCATGAAAAAAAGGTTAAAAGATTAACATTGATAATGATGATGAAAATGATGAGATGTTGGATAAAAGTGGGTAAAATTTTGAGAAGAGACAAAAAATCTTGAATCAATAGATAAAGTGATGGGTTGTGATGAATCCAAAATCCCAAGTAATTCTGATAACGTTTCTCCAATTTTACTATATTAATGTACTAATAATAATAGGAATACAGTTTGACAGTGAAACAAAGATGGAAACATTTCTTAATGAAAATCCCTGTTGACTTTTGATGAAGAAAAAAGGTTTTTCATTCCAACTCGAACTTAATATGAATACCAATGATGAACATTTATTTTCTTGGTAATGATGATTACACTGTAACTCGAGTAAAGTGATGATCATCTCGACATAATCGTTGAACATTTGACTTTAAAAAAGCATATTTCAAGTCGAACATTCAGTTTCAAGTCGATTTGCAATTATCAATGGAAATGAAATTTTCTAAAGCCTTTAGCTTGATGGTCAAAGGCAATTTTGTTTGAACAATTTGATTGAAATGATTATGAAAATGTTAATTTACAGTTGAATGTCCAATCTTGAGGGAATCATTTCAGTAAAGTGAAAAGATGATCTTCAAGATGATTATTATGGTAAATCAATTATACTTTTGGTCAGTGACTTGAATGTGAGTTAAGGTTGGCTTTAATTGCATTGATTAAACTAATTGAAGTGCGTAACATTAAGTGATTGTCAGTGTTTAATCCTTTTCCATGTAATAACTTTATCGATTCAATTCATTTTAATGATTTTTACTCTTCAATTTGCTTAAACACTTTTTTTTCTTGTCTTCACTTTTTTTCCTCGTTTTACTCTTTTGTTGCCTTTGAAACTTTACTTAATATACTCTAGACAATACTGAGCATGGTATTGATATTTCATCAGTAATCATCTTGTTCATGATGATGCTTGTTGAGTTTATTCAACTGGAAACTTTGTATCCATAGAGAGATTATCCTTTGCTTTTAAAACATTTTTTTCATTTGATTAAAAATCGATATAAAAAAGCTGTTCAATAACTTGGACTAATTTTCAAATTGCTTTCTCTTTGCAACCAATCAATCTATTGAAACTTGAACTGAACACTGAGCTTTCTGTTCGCAACTCAACAAATCAATTACCGTATCGGCGCACATAATGTCACGGTGCTTCAAAATGGGCTCGCTCAAATAACAGCACTTTTGCTGCCCCTTTAGACGCTCATGGGCTATTATTAATGATCACTTTGAGCTTTTTCTCGACCGATTAGCAGAGAAAAAATTTGATCTTATGAATGCATTTCTATTAGTTAATTGAAAAATTCAAAATAATAGTCAAAATTTCTCTATTAACCGATCAATTTCGATTTTTAAAAATTTTTCCTTTTCTGAGTTAACGCATGCTCAGTGACTAAAATTCTCACTTATTACGAGCGAGCTCGATCCGAGGCACCGTGACATTATGTGCGCCGATACGGTAGTTGGATTAGTTGTTAAACTTCATCTCACTTGAAAACATGTAAAATTGATTGATAGAACGAAAAATTTACTTTCTAATATTAATTTACTTTTCAACTTGTTATTACCATCAATTTTATCCAATTTAGTTGAACATTTAAAAACTGATGAGACTCTCGGGATTTCCAATCAACAGTTGAAACTTCAAGCTTGCTATTGATAATTGAATTAATTTACCATCATTCATGGATTCAACTTTTTTCCTAATCTCATTTCATGTTGAAGAACCATTGATGAGACACAAAATAACAATAATAATATATTAATATGTTGCTTATTACATTTATACAATCGTGTAATAGATATTATTAAGCTTCTTATATTAATACATTAGTATGTTGAACATACTCGATAAATTGTTTGTCCAAAGTAATTGTGGCAAAGTTGCTTTTTTTAAGGCTACATCTTTTTATACTTTCTTGTCCTTTTGTTTATCACCTTCCCTTCCTCATCACTCCTGGCTGTTCAATGTTTCCCTGATACTGCAGTTAATCAATCTAGGAAAACAAGAGCAGCAGCAAGAAAAAAAGAAACAGCAACAACTCGAGAAAAAAAGTGTACACGAGTAAGATTGAGAGATGAGATTAATCCTTGTTATAATAATGGAAAAGAATTGGCTGGTTAAAAGAAAAATTGATTCCATGATGATTGGTAAATTGATTAGCAGAGATTTGTTGAGAGCATCTAATTAGTGGAAATATGATTTACATCAATCTTGATTATATAATCCTGGAAAAACCTGCAACATCTTAATACCAATAAATAGTTTAGCTTGACCCGTTTCCAGATTTCTTTACATTCAATTTTCCCTATTCCTTCCTTCTTGGTGTTGTTAATGATGATCAACAAACTATCGAGGTTCGTGTTGTTTCCCAGTTTCCATAATCAGCTGAAAATAAAAAGGTGACAATATGAGTAAATATTGAATCTACTTGATTAGGGTAAACATATTGTTATCATCTTGGGAAAGATACTTACTTTGCTGTATCAATTCTGGTAGTCAAATATGCAAACAAATCATCTTTCATTTTTCTCATGGTAAATTCATTTAATATTTTTTCCGTGAAATTGCATTTTCCAAAGCATCTTGCTTTTATGACTTTGTCCTTTCATCACTGGTGCACTTTTGGATACAAATTTTATCAAAATTTCATCTTAATAGAGATTCGTTTTTCCTTTGCCTTGGAGTTGCGATTCGAAGGGAAAAAACAATTGAAAGATCTCCATAACAACACGCAAAAAGGTTGTCAAGAAACTAGAGGGAAAAGCAAGAGAAAGAAATACAATTCATCAGTTTTTTCTTCATCATCCTTCATCTTAAACTATCTTCTTCATCTTCTTCATTTTCTGATCGATTTTATGGATCAGTGACCTTTTTTACCGAATGTAAGGAGAATTGTTTGAAGAAAGGAACAAAAAACAAACCTAGTTTCTTTCTTTGTCTCTTTCATTTGTTTCATTCCAGTTACGCCAATTTTCAACTGCTGCTGTTGGGCATTATTCATTCACCTTTCCTCATCTTTTTCACCCACTCCATCCTCATCTCCAGCTTAGCCACTTGCTTCTTGCTCTTTTCACGCTTCCATCTTGGAATCCTTATTTTTTATTGAACATCGAAATGAAAATCATCTAAAAAAGGGAGAGAAAAATAAAACTAATAAAACAATAATATCAAATTGTTATATGATAAGAAAGAAAAGATGAAAAGCTTACAAAAAAGCGTAAATGATTATTCTTGAGGTCCTCCTGAGATTCGGTTCAACAAATACACTTGTTTCAATTACTTTTCCAATTAAATGCTGATAATCAGGTAAAGTGGACAATTTCAATCTCATCAGATGACATCAGGTTAATCATGTGAGTGTCAGTCTTTGTATCTGTAAAAGTAGCAAAAAGGTGTAAAATGTAACATTGAGACAAATGTAACGTTTAAAGGTTTGGATTGGATTCAACACTTACTGCCTTGATGCAAATGAAATGATATTAATGGTGATTGTTTCCATTTAATGGATTCCAATTTTTGGCTCCTGATATTTGTCTCATTTTAATTTAGATTCATTCGTGTTGACAGAATCTTGATATTTTTTTCTCTTCTTTTTTTTCTCTCCCTGATTCTGTACATTAGATCTGTTCTGATTGTCCCTTTTCAATGCTAAATCAATTCCACTCGCATTGTGTTGAACCCTGTCAAGAGTTGTTTTTTTTCAATGCAAAAATAAGTGATAAAGAAAGGAAAATGAAAAAGAAGGGAAAACTGAATAACTCTGGATGATTGAAGAAGAGAGAAAAATATCTTCTTCTTTTCTATTTTACATTCAACTGACATTGTTAAGCTGGTTTAAATTGTAATATAATTGCATCAGGAATCAAGCTACTCAACTCGCTATCTACATATCAATATTTTGCTTTCCTATTCAAATTCAAGTTGATATATAAATATTATTATAATAATAGTAGACAGAAATATGTAAAGAAGTAATACGTTGTGTTTACCATGAAAATTTTTCCATCCATCACAACATTTCCTAACATTTTGTGAACCTTATTTTTTACATCCAAACTCTCTTCATCCCTCTTTAGTAACATTTCATCCCTTTAAGTTTTGCCTTTTGCTCTTCATCTTCATCTCTCTTTTTTTTCTTGAACACAAACACTTTGTTTTGATGGTTGATGGTTGAGTTTGACTTGCTTTTGCCACTATAAATTGTTTCCTCTCGCCTTCAGTTTTTACCCTCATCAGAATCATCATCACCATCCATGGTAAAGGCAGAAATGATGCAAATCTTTTTCAACTTAAAATCCAATAACTTTTCCTCTTGTAAAAAAATTGTAAAATATTTATATTTCCTTCTTGATTCTTTATCTTCTCTGATCTTTTTCTTGTTCATCTTTTCCTATCTTTTGCTTTTTCCTTGTTTATTGGTTCCTTCAATTTCCAAAATTTGTAGCTTCACGCTCGCTGCCTCCAAGCATCTCCATCATAATCATCCTTTTTTAGGTACCTTTAAAGGGAAGAAAGATGAGTTAGGTGTAAGATGATAGATAAATCTAGTAAAAAATACAGTCCATGGATCAGAAGAGAGATTGAAAAAGATGAGAAATGAATTCTTCTTCTCTTTTTTTCTACTCACTTATTATTTCAAACTTTAAAGTTTTGGAAAACTGAGAAAAATTTCCTTTCTTCAGGCACCTTTGAAATCATCTTTTCTTCCTTCTTGCTTCATATTTTCCTCCCTTCACTCTACTGGGAGTGAAATAATGATACTTTTAGTGCAAGATCATCCTTCATCTTTCTGTGAGTTGTTTCCTTGCTTGCTTCCACCATTTGACTCTAATAATGAGAAAAGATGATTAAAACTGTTTGCAGGTTCAGAAAAAAAAACTAAAGATGTGAGTATAAATATCAAGAATCCAAGGATATAATGGAACCAGCGGGTTTCATTAAGTATCATTTTCTTACCACTGTTCAGGTTGATATCCATTAAGCTGATGAGTGAATCAAGTGAGGAAAGATCATTATTAGTTTCAATAGTTTGCATCGATCAATGAACAAAAAGTGTGTAAAAAATGTTTTCTTACCTCAACTTTGCAAATCAAGTGCATATAAAGCAATAGCTTAGGTATAAGATATTGCTTATAATGACATTTTCAAACTATTCAAAGCCTTTTCTCATTATTTTCAACTTCTTATTTTTTTTCGTTATCATTGATTCCATCTGATTGAACTATTTTTTTCACTCTTTTTTTACTGAAAAAAGACCTTATAAAAGGTGAAAAGAAAATAACAAGAAAAGGAATGAGAAAATTCTTGAATAAAATGAAAGTTCAGGCCTTACATGAATTTACATTACTAACATTGTAAGCTTCTTTGATTGGGATAACAATGAGTTGTTCAAGTGAGTTGTCTCGATAAGACATTGTTAATGTTAGAAAAGTGAAACATTGAAACATAGAATCATCGATGATTAGATGATTTCATGTTCATACGAACTGATAACTTTTTGTTCAATAAGAAGATCAAGAGAAGGAGCTTTTTTGCTACAAAATATCGGCTTTGTAATGAAATTTCTTCACTAATTTCTCTTCCTTTGATTCATTCTTTTACTTCTTCCAAGTTTACTTGTGATTTATCTTCATTTCTCATCACTTTTTCCTTCGAGTTTTTTTCTTTCCCTTCGTTTGGACTCGTTCCTTTCCAACGTTACTTTAGCTCTTTGCATCTTTCCTCCATTATTGTCTTTTACAGAAAAACTCATCAAACCCAATTCCAATATATCCTTAGGACAATCCTTTCAACGTCTGTTCACAACTTTGACTTTGCTTGTTTTCTTTCCATTTATTCGTCCTATTTTTCATCCAAACTATTCTTGTTCCAACATTTTCGTAGCTTTTCTTCTCTGAATAATGCTTTAAGCTATCATTATTCCAATTCATTTATTTCATTCTTTTTTTGCTCCTCTTCTTTGCTTGGTTTGATTCTGGGCTTCCCACTTGAATCCTACACTATCTTCATTAGGTTTGTAACTTTATTCATGCTCAATATCCCATGATGATGAATTGATTCCAATGAAAACTGTTCTTTGATCAAGATCCAATTCGTATCTAATTTCTTCTTTTCTCTTTTACTTTTTCTCATTTTATTTTTTAGGATGTTTCCTTAACTCGGAGTTCACCAAACCACAGTCTTGGCCTTTGTCTCTCTTCGGACCATCCACTAGCCTTAAATGAAAATGAACAGAATCACCAATATCAGAAAGCACAGTATTCGCAGGGGAATGCCAATTCTTTATCATCTTCATCCTCATTCGATCACAATCAGGGCAATGGGCATAGAGTTGAAGAAGAGAGCCAACAATCAAAGGTTGCCGAGCAAAATGATAACAACGAGTCCAGTAATATTAGGCGAAGTGAGGTCTATATAAGTCTATTGGAGCCTGGCGGACTAGCTGAGCGCTCTGGTTTAATCAAAATCGGTGACCAAATTTTAGAAATCAATGGGTCTGAAGTTGCCAACCTGGATGAGGCTAAATCAATTCTTTCTCGACGTGAAATAAGTTCATTTAGTCTACTCATTGGTCGACCTAATATTAATCATGATCATTCCAAGTGTTGCGAAAGATCCTTAGCCAAAAGATTAGCACTATTTGAGTCCAGTGAAGGAGGTGATGTTAATCATGTTTCCATTGTTGATTGCAGTCAAGAGTTTTATATACTGTCATTGGATCCAAATAAGGGTAAACCAGAGATAGGCAATAATTACGCGCTTGCATCAGTAGTCAATGATCAGGGTAATAAAAGCTCTTCAGGAATATCCAATGGTGTTTATGATGGTTATACGGGTCAATATAAAGATGAAAAAGACAGTGGAATGGGCAAAACTGATGCAGAGTCAGCCAATGATACTTGCTCAACTGATCATGAGTTAACTGGATCTGATAAAATTAGATCTAATGAACCATTAAGGGGACCAAACTTTTCTGGCCAGGGATCGGCTTCATATTCATCTGAAAATTCATTGGAAGGAAAAAGACAAATGTTATCACATGAGAAATATCGAGATATGTCCAATATACAGCAATATCAATCTGAAAAGATTAACCAACAGCCAATACCTGAAGCATCACCTTATAGTGAAATTGATAATAATAACAATGATGGGAAAACTGGAGCCAATGGAGCAGTTTACGATGAACATTGTCATTATGCATCAACCGAGATAGTTTCAACACCTACTCAACCACCAAAAAATGTTTTCAAACCCAAACCAAGTCCACCAGAAGTAAATTCAAAGCCGGTCTCAAAACTACCAGCAGCTAAACCAGGAGCTGATTTATTACCAGAAATGCATCCATCAGAGAAGAAAGAATCGATCAAAAGATGGATCAAAAGTGGATTACCCACAACTTTGCCACCACCACCAACATCGTCAGTAACAAATATGTCGAACCGTCCATCATCTTTTAAACCAGGATTAACTGCAAGATCGCCAATGGAAAATAAACATTTGATTGAAACAGATGAGGTTACCAAAAATACATCTAGAGATCATCTTATATCAAATACACCAAATCTAAAGACTTTTAGTAATAGCAAACAAGAAAAATTGAATAACAATCAAATTGGAAAGGAAGATAAAGAAGTAACTACAGAAGAGAAAGGAACTCAGATAGAGTCTGATGCTGCTAGCCTTATGAGTTGCGAATCTTGTCCTACCTGTTGTAAATCGTTGAAAACAACGGATGATAAAGGGTTGCAACACCTTGAAACTTTCCAGCCTTATCAAATGCATCTTGGTAGACCAATATTGATTCCTGGCGTGATTGAAAATAAGCGTACACCTAATTTGCCTATTCCAGTAAAGATTCCAGTAGTTCCCAATTTATCATCCAATAATACTGCCAGTAATAATAACAAGCATGTTAATAAGAATACTCGGGAAGAGAAGGAAAACATCTACAGTACAATAGGACCGACGACGACCATGTATACCACCAAAGCCAATCTTGAACACACCATAAAGCTTCAACAAGAAATGTTACGTCAAGCGATGGTCCAGCAACAAAAAATAAAACCAGTGAAAAGTCAGGCCAGAGGTTTTGAATCAAATAGTCACAATATCAATGGAACAAACACTTCTCATCAGGAAAGTTCACCAGCAAGTTATTATCATCGACCAAACATGGTGCATCCTGCTAGTCATATTAACACACGACCCACAATAGTATCAGTAAATAGTCCAACTAACCCGTCCAGGTATTTCCGTCATCTTGGAAAGATGGTAAATTCACCGTCATTATCTAAGTTTAAAGATAAGGTTACTGGTAATAATATAATTCTCGGTCCATCCAATATTGGGTACAAAAATGATACAAATAGGAATGGTAAAGAGATCAAAATAGATGACCAACTTAATTGTAATCCAAACAATGTAAATATGGAATGGAAGGTGAAAAAGCGTCCAGATGGAACCAGATATATAACTCGCAAACCCATTAGGAATAAGATATTGAAAGAACGAGCACAAATTATTAACCAAGAACGGCTAGGATTAACAACGGATGACGATGCAATGTCCGAATTAAAAGTGGGCCGTTATTGGAATAAAGATGAAAGAAAAAAGCATTCTGAAAGAGCAAAAGATCGAAAGAGGAAAGAAATGTTATTGCGACAAATTAAAATGTGTGCCGTTAGAGAGCATTCAGAGGAAAGGGAACCAAGAGTTAGTAAATTTATAGAGCATACCTCGCATCACGGTGGTGGTGGCGGCGGTGGGGCAGGAAGTAGTGGTGGCAATCACTCCTCGTCTGGATCTAGTGGGTCCAATGCTAAAAACCGAGCAATTAGAGAAACAATTAAAGGTTGTGTCATTAAAGGCAATGTTTTAACAGATAAGCCTACTCATGGTTTAGTAAAGCAGTCAACAAGCATTGTGACTCAATCACATGGTCATGGGGTTAAGTTAAATGGACCAATAAACAGAGCTCCAAGTAAAAATCAAATTAATGAATTATTAACGGTTACTACGGTTTGATGAAACTTTACCATTGTCATTATCAACTTAAAAACAATAATTAGGTTGCGAGTTGATGCACTGCGAAAATATCCCAACTCGGTAATGTAATGATTTCAACTTGTAATGTGGTTACTTTGCCAATCAAATGTAATTTATCAACAAAATGTTCACTTAATTATAATCAATTTATATCACCTTTAAAACTTATTAACAAATGATGATTATTTATTAAAATTGTATTATTGTCATCTCAAGAGGCTTTTTGGTAAATAATTGGATAAATAAATATGTTTAAATAAAACACTTTGATTGATCAAAACGTTTTCATAACAAATTCATGAATGTGATCCAGTATTTTCAACAAAACCTGAGCTAATTATGACTGTTTACCGAGTTTACACTATTACCCATTTGAAACAATTACAGTTTTTCACCACTCTTTCGACCCAATTCATTTGCAATAGTTTCCAGTTTTTAAAAACTGTGTTAAAAACCCTCATTATCAGATCAGTTAACTCAAGCACAGTCTCTTCGGGAAGACCGGGAATTGACCAATGAATTGACGATAAATTTCAGCTTTTATTTCAAGATAATAAGTTAAATTCAGAATAATGACAAGGAAATAAGATAAGACTATACCAATTTTTCCAAGTTAGAACACCACCTTAAGGCTTTGATGCGCAATATTCATTGAAATAACGGCAATAATCAGCTCCATGTGGTTGAACATCCTCTCTACAATAAGCTATAAAATAATTAGGTTGGAGATTTAATGCCGCATTCGGAATTAATGGATTTGGTGTGGTGTTAGCTAAATAGCTTATTACTTTAGTGTATCTTCGTTGAGCACAAAATTGAACAAGTTGATCGTCGCTCACCATTCTTCCATCAGCACATTTACTTTGAGATTTTGGTTCTTTATTGCACATATTTTGGCTTTGGGTGTGAATCAATTCGACATCTGAAGATATCATGATGAAAACAAGAAGAATGATTGAAAATGAAGGGAAATACATTGTATAAACTTATAATGATAGTAATAACAAACTAGAAATTATATTGAACAATGTGAATGGAAGAAACAGTTTTGTAAAAGTGATTTACAGTTGCAGAAATGATTCTTTTTATCCGTCCATAAGTATACTCAGCTTCTTGAAAGCAATTTAAAAGAGGTTAAATTAATTCATTAGAATGAGTTTAAATGTCAATATATTCACTTCACTATTTATCTAATTACTAATAATCACTTGCGTTTCAATGATTATTTATCCATTCATTGCCAATGCAACCACCTTTTCCTAACCTTGGCATAATGCATCCTAAGCCTACCAATAATTTATTAAAACATATTTTAGACAAGATTAAACTATAAATATTAATTTCGCATAATATGCGAAGAGAATATTCTGCTCCGAGCATGTTGTTAGCAGGATCCATGAGTACTTGTCTAGGAGCCAGAAGATGATGCCTATAGCCTTCATTTCCAGCTTTAAATATCATTGCCCTTTGTGAGAAGCGAGCATATTTGTTGGTTGTAATCAGACCTCATGACTACAACAGATTAGCTCTTAGAAGCATATTTACCATTTATTTCATTCAACTTTAAATTTTTCAATTTTTTCATTTTTTGACTCCAACTTGGGTCATCAGCTTTTCATCAACCACATAATTTTCAACATTGATTTATATATCATCAGCTTCGTCTCTTCGAGCTCTAACTAATGTTATATAATTGATTACTGTAACTCGAACCAATCTCTTAAAACATTAACTTGCCCGGCGTCAAAAGTCTATGTATTCACATAGGGAATATAATGGTGAAAGTCATCCTGGCGACCCCACTAAATTTACAGAATTAAACAACCTGAAAAAGCAATCAACATATCATTAGAAAGAGCATCTAAAATACTTTTGATTAATATATTTTTCATGTCTGTAACTTCATCCAGTGTCGAGCTACAAACCGACATAATTTAACTTTCATGTTTATTCAAGAATATTGAATATTTCCAAGAATCATCTTATTTCACCAACAATTAATGTTTTCATCATTAACTCAATACATCATTCGAAAGCCCTTTTCAAGCTCTTTCGAATGATATAAGTTCATTAAATTAAAATTAATGATTCCATTAAATTTAACCCAAACATGATATTTTCTTGATTCTCATATTAATTAATGATTTTCTTAAGTCATTCAAATCCGACTCATATTACTAATTGTCACTAACTACGATCATTTTCAGAATATAATAATTGATTCAACCCTTCGCAGTGTGCTTCACAAATGTCCAACTTAGCTTTAAAAAGCTCAAACATAATTACTTTATTTTTCCTCTCAATACTTTCTCCTTAACTTATCCTTTCACAAAACCAGTTTTTACTCCAATAACCTAAAGGTCATCTTACAAATGTCTTTGTGATAAAGATGACAGTTGAAAAAGTAAATTTGAATCTTTTCTTAAAAATAAGAGTTAACCTTAACACAACAACAGTTGTGATGTAGACCCAGAGAAGTAAACTTGTAAACCTTTCTTTATGTTCAATAAATTTTTGCCTCAAACCAACAATATTTTCTATCACCTTCGGCATCTAGCACCGATATCTCAAAACTGGCTTGTTGTTTTGTTCCATCGCCACATAACCTGTAAAATAAATAAAAGAAGAGACGTTATTAGAGAGAATCAAAAAAGAAATCAGAAAATACTTACTCTAAAAATAAATTAATACCAATATATTCCCCTCCATAGTTTTCCGTTAATCCGTTAACCGTTTTCCTCCAAATTTTTTCGTTAACAAATTTCATCACCCACTTGTCCCTGGAATTGGGTGGCGAAAAATGAGATGACAATAATTTTATATCATTAGGAATATACACTTTTCCCTCGAGTTTTTTGTCTTTTTGTTATGCTGCCATCTAGAGCTGCTGCCATAATGACTCCCCCTATGGGCGAGACGCAAAGAGGCTACAAGGGCAAGTCAATTGAAGAGTTCAATAGTTCTAATTGTAAAATTCGTGTTTTCCCCCTCTAGTCACTCTAGATGGCAGCATAACAAAAAGACCGAAAACTCGTGGGAAAAGTGTAACTGAAATTTTTAATCGTCCATAAGTGGCTGAATTTCGTAATTGAGAGCGAGCTCATACTTAAACTAGTTGGTTGCATGATTGCCAACAACAATTGAACTGTTAACAAAGAAAATTTTGACAAAAAACAATGAATAATGTTGTAACATTCGCAGCCACAGCTACCCAGCTGCTATTAGCTGGCGACACCTAGATATTGTTTTTTCCCAGCAGCAAACTGGTAGCTATTAATTTTTCAGTCGTTTTTTTCAGTTAATTTGAGATGGAAGCATCTCATGTACTATCATCGACTGGTCCATGTCAAATATTTATACTATTTTGGTGAGTTTTATTTAATTATTTCAAACTGTAGTGACAATTTTCTTTTTCTCCCTTCTTCAGACTTCAACAACTTTTTTGGTATTAAACCTAAGCTTTCATTGGATACAATCTATTTTTACAAAAATAATGAACTGAAAGAAACTGATTTGGCTAGCTTGTTCCCAAACGGCGAGGTTTTCGACATTTCTGAACCACTGCATAAATTGCAAAGAAATACTCTTTGTAAATTTTTGGCCGATGCTCGGAACTTGAAAGGTTTAATGAATATAAGTTGGCTTTTTGGAGAAATCAGTTTAATAAAATGTTGAAAACCTGCATTAACAAATTTTTTGGGTTATACTTATGCCTAGTGTGCATAAAGTGGCTAGAGGTTTTTGAATTATTTATTACGATAGCTTCCCAATCTTTCAAAAATTTGCTATAGATAAGCACAGCTAACTAAACAAAATAGCAACAAAGGTGAAGATGGAAAATAATTTGACCAAATGGTCTCGTGTGCTTCGTTTCGTATTCTAGCCATTTCGTCTGTTTCATCAGTAAGGAGCTAATGAGTCTATCGATTGAATTAGTCATTGAAGATTGAATAAGACGAATTTTTGGCGGATTGAGAGACAAAATAATTACTTTATTGATTCAACATATGCGACTATAATGATGGCAAACACTAAGCCAAACAGGAACAAGAAGAAGAGTGTCATGTTAAGCAATTCATGAAGAGAAGGTAGCAGCAAGCGATAGGCATCTGAAATAGTATGGGGTGCTCTGGCGTCACAGATGTGATTCCTACGTAATGAAAAGTTTAAACTTTCATCTGGATCCCTCACAGTTATGTTAAAATTAATGGTAACAAGCACTTCGGCATCTTCAATTCTGAAAACTGTATAAACGAAAGAAATTATGATTCAAAAAGTGGTTTACAGTCTGATTCTTGATTACTTACCTTTTCTTCAAAAGGAACAAAACCTTGTTGAGAAATATTCATATAGAACATATCAAGAACATGACGATTATCAAAATTAAAAGTTATTGAATAAGACATCTAGAGAAAAAGAAAAAGCAAACATTACTTTGTATGAATGTGAAAAGATTGAGTAATTACCTTTTTTTTACTCAAGTTCTGCCAGTTGAAATTTAGACCACAGATGTGAGGTGCGATTGGCATTACAAATCCAAGTGGATAGTTTTGAACCTCGCCATTTTTGACATAACAAATACCCCCAGAACCGTCTAGAATGGGTGAAATTAAAAACTATTAAATTCAAAATTAGAGTATCAACTGAGAAACACCCTATTATAAGAGTAAGAGTAATGATCAGATAAAGCAAAGATTGACTCACCTACCAGTCGATTAACTTCTTGAGGAGTTAGGCAAAGATTTAGGAACCCATGAGTAAATGGAGTCAAAAGGACGAAATGAAAAACTAGGTTTCTCCATGTTGAAGCAAGCATTGTTTAATTGCCAATTTTATCATTCGGATGAACTCTCTTGTAATAGCATCTGATTGCACTAAAACAGTTTTTGCTGCTGCAATATTTTAAGCTTTTTACATTTCGATACAGTACACCCTCTCTACAACAGTGTCCCATAGTCATGGTAACCGAGTAAAGAATGGCTTTTTCAATTAGGAAAATTTTGAGAGGACTCTTAATTACTATTTAATACTGTTATCAAATTATAAATCAAAAACACCTAAATTGAAACAATAATTAAATTTAAAATTTAATTAAATTCGTAACAGGGCTATTTTGCCTAATTATTATAAGAAAATAGCCAAGATGTTAATCCCACGACATGACAATTTGAAAGGGTTTACTGTATCGGCTTTTATCTCTTCATATCAAATTTAGGCATTTCCAAAGATTAATGCTTTGATCTTTGGCCATTTCTCTTCAGCGAAAATATT